CGATACGAGATTGGGGATTATAAACAAACAATCAAACAGCATCATATATCCACGATCGCAATTTGTAATCCTTCCATGAGCCATCAATCTGCATGTGTGATATATCTTGCCCAATCGACCTCAAAAAATAGTCCGTCAGAAATGCACTCAGACTGAAATGGTTTTATCGAGAGGATGGAAGGCCCACCTTTACCTTTATTAAATTTTAAAACAAATCCTTTCAAGGGCCATCTCCTCGGTCAATTTTACCACCAATTCTTACAAAACAGGTTTTTCAGCTTTTCAATCACTATAAGGATGGATAAATGTATAATATCCAATACAAAAAAGTCTCCTTATCTATCCCGTAAAATATTTCGTACTTTCATTTTTTGATGTTGCTAGGATCAGGACATCTTATTGAATATTTATTAACCTAAAATAATATTTCCACAATCTTTATCGGGTCGAGCAACCAGTGAGATTTTAACCGATCTCAAATGAAGAGGACCATACAGTTATACAGAGAAGATAAGCTCGGTCCTTATACTCTAGTAGCAGGGAATAGTTGAGTGTGCACTTCGATGTATACGATTTCTGACAACACAGGCTTGTTTGTTAGATCATTCTTAACCAAAATCGTTTAGGTACGCAATTTGTGTCGCTAGACATAACCCTACAGGGCAAATTTTCTAAATTACCCTCAGTCGCGTATACGGGATTTTTGTATTTCAGCTCCTGAAGGTCATAGAGACTTCAATTTTAGCTTAAAATTACCGCAATAGCCATATTTATATACAAGTTATGAAGCAACATAAGGTCTCCAGTGCTTTGTTTTATAGATATTGACAAAAAACTGTTTTTTGTCTCAGCGAACCAAAAATGGGACTGAATTTTGATAACTTGAACTAGGAAAATCGTAGAGACTTGAATTTTAGCTTAAAATGAGCGCAAACATCACATTTATGTACAACTTATAAAGCAATATAAGCCCTTTAATGCTTATTTGTTAAGATATTGACAAAAATCGGTCATTTTGGCTACACGCGTGAGGAAAAATACCAAATTGGGCAACAACTTTGGTCTTTTTTTGACCAGTTTTGTGCTCAAGTTATTAAAATGTGCTTTGATGTTGTAGATCGGGTGTTTTCTTCCAATATGGGTTTCGGTATAAATCTGGAAGCACCCGGTTCATGGGTGATAGGGGTTAAAAACCCTAAAATGTCAGGTGATGGGCGAGACAATTGTCTGAATTTGGTTATAAAAACACTTGCACTCTTTGCTAGGGTTTGCTTTTTTCTGCTACATCGATCCGATTTCTAACTACTAATCATCCCCCTCTACATCATTCTCTTTTAGATACATGATTTCTATAAGTTCTTAAAGGTACATCCGGCATGATGTAAAGTCTATATCAAAGCATTTTAATGTGGTCTTAACAAGTTGCAAGATATTCAAATTCACTAATATAAAACAAAGATTGTAGGTTATCCTCCTTTTACATAATATTGAGTAATTGTGGGCTTTTTGAGGGGGAGGCTATAAAATGGCCGAATATAACTTTAACGTAAACGACCCAATAATAATATTAAACGTAGAATGAAACTACTTAAAACTTATACAGATTCATGGTATCCTGTTTCAAGACGCTTGCTCCTGATTTTTAGCAACAATATCAACTGACCCCACGACGTTGTAACATAATTGTGAGTAGGCAATCACTTGATCTATAAGTTTTGAACGGTAGTTTGTAAAAATAATTACATTCTACAAACATTATACGCTCCTACTATGCAATTACTAGCCTCTGGACTAACTCCCTATCATCTGTCCATATAATGGTGTTTCTGGACAGATAGATGGTGTATGATGCCCTCATGCTAATTTCAGCGATCTTCATGCAGGCTTTTTTCTCTTTAGTGTTTACGTTCAAGGTGCAGTGGTTCTTAAAGGTTTGGAGGCTGCAGTTGTGAATGCCTCGAACTCGAACTGCTACTGTCTGGAGCTTGCAATCTCTTCTGTCAGCTGCTGATATCTCTTCATATTCTTTTATCTTGATCAGCAAAGTTCTCCTCATTCAGATGCACCTTCTTCGCTTTATCTGAATAGATCACTACATCTGGTCTCAGTGGTATTACACTAATGTAATGACTAACAATAACGTTCATAAGTGCTAAAATTTCGAACTAGTGGACCATATTCGGAGGAGAAATTTGGGACAGTTTTTTGCTTGGAAATACTGATTTAATCGAATTTTAACCACAAAAATGACTCCCAATAATATTCTTATGGAGAGTGTGGATAAATATTAAATATTTAAAATAATACAGGTTTGACTGTAGGGGCTAGCATCTGTGGCTCTCACCCACAAGACCCGGGTTCGATTCCCGGCGTCGGAAATTATTTTAACGGCCAGGTAGCGTAGTTGGTTGATCATCGGATTCGCAATCGTAAGATTGCGAGTTCGAATCCCACTGCCTGCCTAGTCGTGGGGTGAGCGTCGTTGACGCTCTGCTAAGGATCCCGAGTGGTCTATGTAGCCCCACGGTTCACTCAGCCGAATGCTCGAGAAATCGGGTGTGAGGGTTAAATGAGGAGCTGTGCTTGATCAACACAGCGAAGCCTCGGGCGAAGAAAGTGTGGCATAGTGCCTTAACCGTTGCTGGCCTTAGGAACGATCCTTCGGCTTCTTGTAAAGCTCTTCCTTGAAAGTGCTGGTTTACATTGTAATGCAGGTAATGCCGAAGTAAAATAACAAAGGTGGTCGACTCATTCGATGGCCTTGTTGCGTCGCAACGAATCCTCATAAGATAAGATAAGATAAGACTATAATGAAGTTGTGTCAATAATCATGTAAAGAATAATAGATAACCTACAATCTTAGTTTGGTAAACCAATTTGGTATCTTACCTGTGTAGCCAAAATTACTCAATATGTAAAACTAAAAGAAGGATTATAACCTACAATCTTTGTTTTATTAGTGAACTTGAATATCTTGCAACTTGTTAAGACCACATTAAAATGCTTTGATTATATAGACTTTACATCATGCCGGATGTACCTTATAGAAATCATGCATCTAAAAGAGAATGATCTAGACGCGGATGATTAGTAGTTAGAAATCGGATCGATGTAGCAGAAAAAAGCAAACCCTAGCAAAGAGTGCAAGTGTTTTTATAACCAAATTCAGACAATTGTCTCGCCCATCACCTGACATTTTAGGGTTTTTAACCCCTATCACCCATGAACCGGGTGCTTCCAGATTTATACCGAAACCCATATTGGAAGAAAACACCCGATCTACAACATCAAAGCACATTTTAATAACTTGAGCACAAAACTGGTCAAAAAAAGACCAAAGTTGTTGCCCAATTTGGTATTTTTCCTCACGCGTGTAGCCAAAATGACCGATTTTTGTCAATATCTTAACAAATAAGCATTAAAGGGCTTATATTGCTTTATAAGTTGTATATAAATGTGATGTTTGCGCTCATTTTAAGCTAAAATTCAAGTCTCTACGATTTTCCTAGTTCAAGTTATCAAAATTCAGTCCCATTTTTGGTTCGCTGAGACAAAAAACAGTTTTTTGTCAATATCTATAAAACAAAGCACTGGAGACCTTATGTTGCTTCATAACTTGTATATAAATATGGCCATTGCGGTAATTTTAAGCTAAAATTGAAGTCTCTATGACCTTCAGGAGCTGAAATACAAAAATCCCGTATACGCGACTGAGGGTAATTTAGAAAATTTGCCCTGTAGGGTTATGTCTAGCGACACAAATTGCGTACCTAAACGATTTTGGTTAAGAATGATCTAACAAACAAGCCTGTGTTGTCAGAAATCGTATACATCGAAGTGCACACTCAACTATTCCCTGCTACTGGAGTATTACTAAGTTCACTGTTTTTGTAGTTGGAGCGAACACTTAGCATACAGGCGTTGACGAGCCACGATCACTATTTGTAATTAGCTCGGAGCTATTAATATGAACAATGCACATGTGATATATGTTGGCCAATCGACCTCAAATAATAGTGCGTCAGAAATGCACTCAGATTTAAATGATGTTATCGAGAAGGTGGACGACCCACCTTCACTTTTGTCATTTTAATGATGAATATACTATATCCAATACAAAAAAATCTCCTTATCCAGTAAAAGATTTCGTATCTAATTTAATTTAGGGGTCCTACTTTGAACGGGGGGGGGGGGGGGGGGGGGGGGGGGGGGGGGTGGGGGGGGGGTAATTACTACCAATGGAGACTTTTGGGGACTAATGGGGACTAAAAATCGTGGGGACTAGTATATAGAGGTCAACTCGTTGACGTAATTCACCATTTGTCCCCATAAGTCCCCAGAATTTTTGACAGTTATTTATGGTTTTCAAGTTAGTTTAATAACCTGAGGTACTGTAACAGCCCTCAAGTAGCTCCCAAGAAGTCAGGAATGTCCAGTGACCATTTATAAATATTCTAGACTTCAGTCTTGAGAAGTTTACGATCTGGTCTGGAGAAGCCAGATTTTTTGAAATCTAAATGGGGACTAATGGAGACTTTTGGGGACTAAAAATCATGGGGAATTGACGTAATTCCCCAAGTCCCCAAAAGTAGTCATTACCCCCCCCCCCCCCCCCCCCCCCCCCCCCCCCCCCCCCCCCCTTTGAACACACCTTCCCAGTGAGAGTACTTCTACAATAACTGTGAGAGTTCCGAAGGAAAATTTAGTTATTCCATAGAATTCAATTCATTTCAGGTCACTATATGATTGGTTTATTAACTTTTCTATCGACGATTTGATGAAAAAGAATGTAATTATATAGAATAAAGTTTAATGAAGAAAAAAATATATAATGAAACATATTAAATCTGAGGACAGGACCTGTTGAAAAAATGGAACATAATCACTCGAGCAAAAGTATCTTCTACTGAATCAATTTATTAAGTTGATAAAGAATGTATTTTATCAAAGAATATTTATCTGTCAAAGAAAAATGACGGAGACAAACACTGGTCACTTACGTTGTTGGTCCGTTGAGTTAACAATCCGTAAATCTGACAGTTGCTCTGACACCCATTAATAATATCTTTGAGCAGTTGTCTGGAAGCTTATCGTGGTAAGTGGTAACTGTAACTCATCCTCCTCACCATCTCCTGCCTAATAAAATGGTCTTTATAAATTTATATGGCTGAAATAATAGCAAATAAATAAATGCTAGACATGTTATTTATTGCAATAAACCTCGTATCAAGTCCCAGACATCAAAGATGGTTTGTACATGTTATAGGGGAAAATATAATATTATGGAAAATAAGGTAATTTCAGAATCAGATCATTATAGTGTCCAGCTTTAACGCCCGGTTCCAATATCTATACCATTGATGAAGATTTATCGGAGGACTTAAAATTCTCATTCGGTGTCTAGTTTGGGGAAATACTTGTATATGTTTTGAACAGATAATCTTATGGCATAATTAACGGTTATGATAGCCCAAAAGCAACACCAGATATAGATAAGTTTTTTATTAATTTTTAAAAATTGATCACGATTCACGATCAAAACCGTTTCTTAAACCCCCCACAAGTCTAGCTATGATTACCTATTATTTTGAGCAGCTTGACTGGCGACTTAACTTAGCTTTTTTATTTCGGTTATAATTTGCTAAGATATACGAATAAGTGGCCAGTTATTAATATCAAATCATGACCAGCCCACTCAAAAGAGTGGAAGCTGACAATTGATGAAATATTCAAATGGTTCCTGGCGTGATTTTAATAACTCTATGACTGAAATTTAATTTATTCAATAAACCAGTTTGTTTCATAAAACTTCAGTAAATTAAAATCAAATAAGTACATAATTACATTCAAAAAATTAAAGTAATAAATTTAAAAAGATGTCCACCCTTTGCAAAACCATAAACTTTCCAGTGTTCCACATAAAATGACTTTTCTGAATCATTCTGTTAATTCAAAATTTGTGGAAACTTTGAACCATAATGCTGGATATTACTTCAAAAAGTTATTCCATCTAGAATCTTGCAACGGAAGTTTGCTGTACCAAGCTCAAATATAGTCTGAACACTATGAAGTATTTAGAGTCTCGACACAGGTAAATAGGACTCTTATTATATAACATATTATAAAGATATAATATAATTCTTAAAACGTAAGCTTTTAAATTTTAATAATCCTTCCTTTGGAGATCCGACAATTTTATAGAAGTATTTAAAGTCTTTAATACGCTTAATATCATATTATATTTGGACGTCACTTGGACGTCAATAATGGGATGAAAACTAGCCTGAAGCTTATTATATAGAGCTTTAGTTAGAACTTAATTCATGCAAGGGTGCGAGACTTAAATAAAAATGTATATATATTATTTGTATTTATTCATGTTAAAACTTTATAAAGTTTTAACATGAATAAATACAAATAATTCAATAACGAATTTTTATTCTCTGTCCGTTTTCGTTTATGGAAATGACACAGTGCAAGTGCAAGTCTGAATTTTAAAATGTTGGAACATAAAAAACAACGATCTGATATCGAATCTGACCTAAATCGATCTGGGAAGTACATCACAGCCTTCTATAGGCAATTACAACATATCTTCGAGAAATTCGAAGTAGTCCAAGTTTCGTACACAGGTTTCAATATCTTCCTTTTTTATCGTTTTTCGTTTGTTTTTGACGGCAACTCTGTGGAGAAGGAGTATCAAAATGGATGGAGAAGATTTTTCGGTCAAATGAAACCAATTTTATAAACTCGCCACGAAAAATATATTTTGTCCGGCCATTCCTAGTGAGCATATGGTTGAATAAGGGAAACGGGGAAAATTGGGAAAATCCTATCTAGTAATTTCGGATCGGTACATAGGGTTAACTCAGAGTTTTCCTTTTTTACAGCAAAAGGATCTTTAATTTTTGATACTGAGACAACAAAACTGCAAGAATTTTCAATTTACCTGGCTGAGGCAGTAGATAAAGCCTTGATAAACAGCTCAGTTGCGAAGGCTACTAACAGGACACTGTCATTCTGAATAAGCTTAGTTTCAGGGTCCATCTTCATGATCCGTTTTATCTTTGAGATCGGTAATTGCGACACAACTTGTCGGACATATCTCTCGTTTTCTTTACTCGGGCTATTCTCCTTATCCTCGCCCAGAGTTTCTAAAGTTTCTAAAGAATCTAGAGTTTCTAGAGTATCTATAGTATCCGGAACACTTTGCTGAGCTGATGTCACTTCCTCCACCTCCTCCATTTCCTCCAGTACTGGTTCTTCAGCTTCTTCCGCGTCATCATATTCGAAATTATCCTCTAATTCTTCTTCCGGTTCTGGTTGGGTCTTACCAACAAGGACATCATCGATGGTTGACAAGGTTCTGGGTTGTTTAAGGTTGGTATCCCCGCTGACTTGTGACGAGGGGTGTTCTTCAAGGGCACTGAGTGCACTTATAAAAGGCTCCGTTATTTGGGGTAATTCTTCTACAAGTTCCTCTTGCTGCTCTTCGCCTTCATCACTGTCCATAATCTGAGAAAGAGTATCCGTTTTAGGATAATATGTTGTATGTAAATAATAAATATGTTAAATTTCTTAACTCTTAAGATTTTGTTACGATCGCTATTAGAATTCTTTACCTAGATAAACATATAAACATATAACTGAACAATAGTAAATTATAGCGTTGTTGTCTCGCCATTAGTAAGCATCGTATCCATTAATAAAACAAAATACATACCATCGAAATCACAAATCATTCTTTATATTTACAATATTATAAACATTTAAAGGGTTATATAAAGGGTCTCGGACAACCAAGGGTCACAGAAAACCAAGGGTCACAGACAATCAACGCAGCAAATTTCAATCATCACCTTATTAAATTGTGAGTCTGTCTACAATTCTGTATATCTTCACTCATAAATTACAATAGACAATACTTCTCTCTAAATCTCAAATTGGAATATCAACATTGATCCGAGTAAGCAATAATCACGAACTTTGCGTGAGGTAACATATCTCAACTCCGAGCTCTGTCGAGGATAATGTTTTTCAAGATCGGCAGCTGATTTACCATCCCCAGTCCAAAACTTCTGGCAGCCACTATCGGATCAAAAGATGTGGAGTTCAGTTTATACATACCATCAATGAAAGCCAGCATGGGGGTTACCTGTCGCTGGAGCCCACTTTCAAACGAGTTCAGCACTTTATAATCTCCAATCCCCCTATCTGGATTGTTATTGATATTTCTGATGAGCTCCTGAACTCCTCTGAACCCAATGTTAGCGCCTTGTCCGGCCAGGGGATGGACACGGTGTGCAGCATCTCCTAAGAGTGCGGTGCGAGGACCGATGTAGCGAGTAGAGTTGCTGAAACCCAGAGGGAACTTGGCTCTAGGACCCTCTATTTCTGTTATTAGAGGCGTTGTGGGAGGATACTCTAACATACCCATCTTATCTGAAACTGTCTCCATTGCAGCAACTAATGGAGGTACATTCGCCCGCTTTTGTAAAGCGTTATTTGCTCTGGCAACAAAATCCTCGTCAGGTAGGTTTATAAGTTCGTTAGCTATGTTAGATTTACAAGACCACACCAGAGAAAAGAGGCCCTCGCCCAAGGGAAGGAGAGCAATGGGACCGGAGGGAAGGAACCTCTGGTAGGCCACGTCATCCTTATCTAAACACGGACTCCTCAAAGTGCACACTATGCCTTGCTGGTCGTACATCCAGGACATGACAGGAGAGTCGAGCGTCTTGCGGACGTAAGAGTTAGCCCCGTCCGCTCCTATTAACAAATCGGTCTCCACAACGTCCCCCGAAGCAAGACCGAGTGTGACCTGTTCTCTACTTTCCTCTAGAGGCAGCTTTATCTCCTTCACTTCCTCACCTCGTCTGATGTCGACGTTGTGGAGATTCTTTGCGATATCCAGCAAACTTGTCTCGATTATATTGTTCTCTACGATATATCCCATAGGGTCGGCCGTAAAGGAAATTGTATGGTTGCTGTTGGATTCCCAGTTGAATATATTATTGTAGGAGTTGAACCTCATATCTTTGATTCTATCCCATGCTCCAATACCATCTAGAAACTCCTGATTACCCACAGTCAAGTTAATCACTCGCAAATTAAAACCGTTCTCCGGCTCAAACTTAGGTTCCCTCTCTGACTGATCTAACAAAAGAATCTTCTTATCCTCCATCCTTTCCTCCAGAGCTAGTGCAACCGCAGCGGCGTTACCAATGAGACCACCGCCCACAATAACGACATCGTACTGGACGGAGGGGTGGACCACACTGAATCGTGCACGAGGCTGGGTGAGAGTGCGGGACGCTGTAAGGGGGACGAGTTTTCTCAGCATTCTCATATAGTCATTTCAGGAAACTAGGTGGAGAATTGGTTTGAGAGTCATGTAAATTTATTGAGAGAGTGAATAGAAGTTCAGTTAGTATTTTAATTTATGATAATTATTGCGATGTTATATGCAAATTGTATTTTTTTCTTTTATTTTGCTTTTGGTGCACTTGGATAAATAATCGGCGGAAAGCACGAACACGAAGAAAAAGACAAAGTTCGGTAATAAATTAAAAGTATCCTATCAGTGACACTGCTAACAAGTCTTATAAATACGAAACCCCTTAATTAAATACCCAAATAAAATTCTAGTCATTTAGTCAATGAAGTTATTTCTTTCCAGCCTGAGCTTTGAGTACCCTAGCCACGATTTTCTGTTCTTCAATAAGGAATGCTCGTACAATCCTGCTCCTTACACATCGACCACATTTAGTTCCTGATGGAGGAAGTCTTTAACAAAACTAAAATCATATTAGTCCGTCATGTATTTTTAGGCACTTTCGTTGTATAAATTAGAACTTTAATTTAGAGTGATCATGCTTTTGAGTACAAAAATGACTAATGTTCATGGTTAAAATCAAGATCTAGTTTCAAACTGATTTCTTACCTCCGTAAATTCTGGAAACATTTTTGATTCTCCTAGAGAGACTAGCCAACTTCTTAGGTCGCACAGCAGGAATACCCCTCAGCGCGGTCTTACAGTCTCCACATTTCGCCAGATTGGTCTTCTTAGCGGCATAATACACCACAAGTTTTCCACCTGTCGAACAAATTATATTATTTTAGGAATATATTTCAAATAAATCGCCCGCCCTTCCCTAACCCCTCCCCTATATTGAGTTCAAATTACGTAGGTAAATTTCATTAGCGTCTACATTCTTGAAATTCCATTTAATCGTGCTGACGTCAATTTGTTTAGATGTTTAAATCTCACAGCAACTTTTAATCATTAATACAAGTCGACTGTTGCACTTTCATATTTAGTGGAGCGAATGGAGGTTCAGATTAATAATGACCTAGTTTTATAAAGATGCGGAATGGGGAGGTGAGGCATATTTGCTTACCTTAAAGTTGGCACATGCAATTAAACCACCAGAATTCACATCAATAGTTTGAATCCACACATTGTATATGGTTGAAGGTTGTGAGGATGGAAGTTAAACTAATTTTACCATGACAATCATATTATAATCTTATATTAGTGCAATTTCATTAAAATGGCAAATAACACGGACCACCCTGGAAGTTAAGGTGTGGTGATAGCTCGACATGTGACACCAAAGTTTGTGACAATATGAATCTGACTAGACGACGACCATTACATTCAGAAAATAGACAGGGTTGTGCAATTCAATAAACATTTCATTTCAGATTGATTAAAAGGGGAATTGGATGCAAGATATTCATTTGGAGTGCTGCACCGCTGCACAAATACGCAGTCTTTATTAGCAGTTTTACTGTACTGTGGTAAATACAGAGATAGCGAGCAGAAGGAAGATAATTAGAAGTAGCCACTAACCATGGTTACCAGTACTCAGTAGCCATGGTAACCAGTAACCATGGAAAGAAAATAACAACTTACCGGGTGTTTTGTTGAGTCTAGTTTTGTTACTCTTGGTGTTGTAAGACAGACGACGTCTGTAGGTGACTCTGTTGAGGACCATCTTTATGTCTTGCTAAATGTGGGGGAAGGTGTAAGGCAAAACTTGATTGAGGTTATAATCGACTGGTAATCGTCATGAAATTAATTTAACTGATTTGTGTGCCGAATTTTCAAACTTTTGAAACTCTTTGAAAATCAAGAAAATACGTGACTCTAGCGAGACAAATGGATAAATTGCACAACATAAAATTCACAGTAGATTACTTGCTATACAAATTGACAAGAAAGATAGCTTAGTATCGACACAGTTATATAATATGTATTCCCTTGTAGCACAAGGTTTCACGGCCCAAAGAGCAGATTATATGCCTTAATTTTCCTTGATCAAAATATTGGTCATCTAAAAGAACAAACAAATCCATTTCTGACAATACAAATAAAAATTCGGTCCACATTGGCCGGCTAAAATTTTTTTAATCAAAAAACGTACAAACACATACAAACTGTCTAGGAAAACACTGTCTCCAGGAAAATACTTGTAGGAAACAATTTCAGCGATTAGTTAGATAATTTTAGTATGTTAAATTGAATTCTAAAATTCCAGAATTCCCGAGATATAAACACCATCCCTTTACATTTTGAAGGATTAATATAATCGTAAAATATTGTTGATCAACCGTGTCTCCTTATTAAGTTATTAAGAATAATCGAATGCATGATAAAGTCGGTAGATAAGTTACTAACTTAATTAAGTTACTTAAAATTAAATACATTAAATACCAAAAACACTAAAAAACATGTCATGGAATTAGTTCAAAAACCATGCCGTGAAAAATGATTATCCTATTAAATTGCAAAACAAATAAAACATGATTGAAAGCTAAAGAACAAGCTACCAATGATAGAAAACAACAAAATGCAACACCAGAAATCATAAGTATATACCTGGACGGAATAGACATACTGCATTTCAGTCCAATTTTAAGAAACTTCATAGCCTATACTTATACTATCAGTACTAATTTAGTTCAATATTTAATTGACCGAAATTGGATCATCTCATCTCATGTCCTCTTGTTCGGGGAGGACCTCCTGAATAACGAAAGGAGCTGCATCTTCAGTATCAAGGTGGTAAGATCTGGTGTAGCGACGGGACTGCTGGAAGAGGTAGTAGGACCACTTAAAGCACAGAAATCCCCACACACCGAGAATGTAGTGTGACGATATGACTAAATCTGGGGAGAGAAAATGCAACATGAAATTAATAATTGTAAACATTTTATTTAAATACTAACTGATAGACCTAAAAAGTAGAGATATATATTTTATTTATATCTAATTACGTTTTCATAACATCTATGTTACCCAAATGAGTTTCAGAAACGCTACCACTATCATTTTCCACTCACCCTCTTTTAAGGAAATGGCTTTAGCAAGGCCATACACAGTAACCCCCAGAGAGAATATCATTCCCAGTACAGCGCTTAGTAAGATGGCAGGGAGCAGCTGGATAACTATAGAGTTGGGATTAGGACGGAGTGATTGGCGGATGGCTAGACCGTGTAGAGTGGCTACTGAGAGGGCGTACAGTCCTCCTATTGCTGCCCACATTGCTACCTGAAATAGGAGGTACACGTCTTGAGCACTCAAGTTTGTGAATTGTCTGCCGAACTTATGAAAAAGTAAGCATGATTGAACAGTTTTAAGTTTATGTTTTTTTAAAGCCATAATATGCTATTACATCCTGTTTAAAGAAAGTATAGAAGTCACCTATCTAAACTATCTCGATATAAAGACCCTTACCGTGTATAATTGGAACTTTACTCCAAAGACGAGTGCTGCGGATACATGCATCAGAGTTGAAAAGGCAGAGTACCCAAACACAATCTTTACTCTGACTTCTTTAGAGCAACAACACCCCACCATAACCGCTAAGATACAGTTGCCCGATTAGTTACTAGAATCATTAGTATGATTTTGGATATTTTCAAAGATTGTGAACTTTTGTTTAGGGGACTTTGATAAGAAAAATGTTTTCTAATATAATTTTAAATCATGTTGTATTGTTAAAATATTGGTAAATCTCAGTAATCTAAAGTACACTATTAACTATTAAGATTAATAAAACAAGAGTATAAATAGAATTAAAAATCTAAAGCAAGGGAGCAATTTTTCTTCTCAGGAGGTTATCTATCTCAGTTTCTGGAAACCAATAGCCTTTGAGTATTGTTGGAAACACTGTCTGCACATGTCCAGGGAGTACTTTCTGATCAGACCATGATGGTTAGCACATACTCTGCACTTCCTTGAGCCGGGCCCGTACTTCCTGGGGTGGGAGAACCATACGTTGTCGTGACCCATGATGTTATTTAGCTAAAATAGTTCTGGGGTTAGTCAAACAAATTTTCAGAACAAAATATTACAGTATTAGTAATATTCTGTTGGTTGTTGACGGAATGACCGTAGTATGTCTATACAGTATGATAAATCATATTATATGTATGATCTGTCACCATCTGTGAGGATCGCGCAGACCGAGCCGCCCAGAGTCTGCGGCCCCTCCTTCTATGCATATTAGGGATGGCACGCCCCTGGCTTGCCAGGAGGGATCTTATAACTACTGCTCCGGAGGCGCCTCCAGAATTTTGCAATAATATTCTGCAGGGTTTGTGCAATGAATGACGATAGTTCAAAATTAATGTCGATATAGGAAATTAAGTATTTATACCACACACGTTGATAATCACGGTTTGCAAATTCCCACTCAACTGTACCTCTCACATCAAATGAATTCCAGGGACGGGGGATACGTTGTATCAGTTTACAGTGTCTTATATTTTATGATGTAGAATAGTTTCATGATTCTAGGGAAATGAATCTATCAAAAAGTGAGATAGGGTCTGGTTCGAGTAGTGCATTAAGAAAACAATTTATTCACTATCATTTTACTAACAAATTTTTAATTTTGGCAGTTAAGTTTTACTCGAAGAATATTAAATCTTTCAAATACCTTATATTTATATGGAGCTCTACAGCTGCTGGGCTGACTAGTTAAAACGTTATGGCATGGCATCCTTAGTGGAAGCGAAGTATCTTTAATCAGAATCATCATAATTAAAGCAACATTATCTATATTATGTCTTGGTTAAAAAATTAGCGACCTCTAAATGCCATAAATGATTTATGCTTCGAAGCGGGTTAAGAGTGTTTAAAAAGTCATGAGTAGTGTCCGGTAGACGGAGAGGAAGTATTTTACAAATTATCTCATGATTCATGGTCACAACTTAGCCTGGAAATGTCAGTTCTTAGTTTTCCTATTAGAACCAAAAGAACAACCTTGCTGGAACGAAAGATAGTAGCCAGCATGTCTTCTGTTTAATTCTTGGCGAGACTGAAAATTAATCCCCAGAAGAATATTATATCTTTCAAATACCTTATATGAAGCTTTACCGCAGGGAGAGTGGTTTGACAATTTTAATAAAAAAGCTGAACTTACTGGTTTAAAAGTTATAGCATCCTCAGTAGTATCTTTAATCAAAATGATCATAATTAGAGCAACATTACCTTGTTATATGTCTTATTTATTTGTCCCTATTTATATCTTAAAATTGTATTGATCTCTAAATTCCATAAATGATTTATGCTTCGAAGCGAGTAAGGTCTTTAAAATGTCATGACAACGATAGAAGAAGCCAACTTGCCGAATGGAACGAAAGATACTAGCTAGCATACCTACTGGTTAATTCTTGGAGACGAAAAATTAATAGAGTATCCCCAAGATGCCCCAACTACAATCTTCATACTCAGGTAAACGAGGTGAATTAAAATAAGTTCAATAAATTATCCTGTCAGATTTGAAACATCTTCCTTCTTTTCTATCTCAGTTTCTGGAAACCAATAGCCTTTGAGTATTGTTGGAAACACTGTCTGCACATGTCCAGGGAGTACTTTCTGATCAGACCATGATGGTTAGCACATACTCTGCACTTTCTTGAGCCGGGCCCGTACTTCCTGGGGTGGGAGAACCATACGTTGTCGTGACCCATGATGTTATTTAGCTAAAATAGTTCTGGGGTTAGTCAAACAAATTTTCAGAACAAAATATTACAGTATTGGTAATATTCTGTTGGTTGTTGACGGAATGACCGTAGTATGTCTATACAGTATGATAAATCATATGTCCATGATCTGTCACCATCTGTGAGGATCACGCAGACCGAGACGCCTAGAGTCTGCGGCCCCTCCTTCTATGCATATTAGGGATGGCACGCCCCTGGCTTGCCAGGAGGGATCTTATAACTACTGCTCCGGAGGCGCCTCCAGAATTTTGCAATAATATTCTGCAGGGTTTGTGCAATGAATGACGATAGTTTAAAATTAATGTCGATATAGGAAAGTAATGGGTGCCACATGCCTAGCATGAAATATTTACCTACTTACTTGCACTTGTGTAGGTCTGTAGAAGCATTAGAATCGGGCGTTGCCTGCCACAGGCTATCCCGAATTTAAAAGCTTGCTTTCATCATTTCATCATCAGGAAATTAAGTCAAGTATTTATACCACACACGATGATAATCACGGTTTGCAAATTCCCACTCAACTGTACCTCTCACATCAAATGAATTCCAGGGACGGGGGATACGTTGTATCAGTTTACAGTGTCTTATATTTTATGATTGAGAATAGTTTCATGATTCTAGGGAATTGAATCTATCAAAAAGTGAGATAGGGTCTGGTTCGAGTAGTGCATTAAGAAAACAATTTATTCCCTGGCATTTTACTAACAAATCTTTAATTTTGGCAGTTACGTTTTACTCGAAGAATATTAAATCTTTCAAATACCTTATATTTATATGGAGCTCTACAGCTGCTGGGCTGACTGGTTAAAAAGTTATGGCATGGCATCCTTAGTGGAAGCGAAGTATCTTTAATCAGAATCATCATAATTAAATCAACATTATCTATATTATATGTCTTGGTTACAAAATTAGCGACCTCTAAAAGCCATAAATGATTTATGCTTCGAAGCGGGTTAAGAGTGTTTAAAAAGTCATGAGTATTGCCCGGTAGACGGAGAGGAAGTATTTTACAAATTATCTCATGATTCATGGTTACAACTTAGCCTGGAAATGTCAGTTCTTAGTTTTCCTATTAGAACCAAAAGAACAACCTCGCTGGAACGAAAGATAGTAGCCAGCATGTCTTCTGTTTAATTCTTGGCGAGACGGAAAATTAATCCCCAGAAGAATATTAAATCTTTCAAATACCTTATATGAAGCTTTACAGGGAGAGTGGTTCGACAATTTTAATAAAAAAGCTGAACTTACTGGTTTAAAAGTTATAGCATCCTCAGTAGTATCTTTAATCAAAATGATCATAATTAGAGCAACATTACCTTGTTATATGCCTTATTTATTTGTCCCTATTTATATCTAAAAATTGTATTGATCTCTAAATTCCATAAATGATTTATGCTTCGAAGCGAGTAAGGTCTTTAAAATGTCATGACAAAAATAGAAGAAGCTAACTTGCCGAATGGAACGAAAGATACTAGCTAGCATACCTACTGGTTAATTCTTGGAGACGAAAAATGAATAGAGTATCCCCAAGAAGCCCCAACTACAATCTTCATACTCAGGTAAACGAGGTGAATTAAAATAAGTTCAATAAATTATCCTGATTTGAAACATCTTCCTTCTTTTCTATCTCAGTTTCTGGAAACCAATAGCCTTTGAGTATTGTTGGAAACACTGTCTGCACATGTCCAGGGAGTACTTTCTGATCAGACCATGATGGTTAGCACATACTCTGCACTTTCTTGAGCCGGGCCCGTACTTCCTGGGGTGGGAGAACCATACGTTGTCGTGACCCATGATGTTATTTAGCTAAAATAGTTCTGGGGTTAGTCAAACAATCAATACAGTTATGATCAGAAATGCAGAGTATCGGCAGCAAAAGTTGAAGTATTGGATGAATCCAGACTAATCTAAAAAATAATCAGTTTGAGTGAAATAAATAGTTGAATTAGGATGTATTCAAACGTTAAATATAATTTATTGTTAAAAACTTAATGTCAAATGTCATAGAATTGATAAAAATTCATAAAAGTTGCTGATAATATCTGTTAAAGCAACTTTCATAAAATAAATTAAGAAATTTTTTTAAATTTACAAAATATCCTGCTGTGAGACAAGGTTAGTGATAATCATATAATGATCCAGAGATAAGACGTTCAAGTTAAAATCGGTTTTTCGCAATATCCTCAGTCGCACAACGGACCATCCAATCGAAATCAACATCAATGTGTCTCCTCCAAAACTGCTTTATCCGGCCCCACGTTGTAGCCGGATAATTGGGACTGGTAATTCCCTGGAATATTCGAGCAATTACTCGGCCAGTCAGGGGTAACTCGTGGTATTTGTGGATGAAAGTTCTGATGTCTCGCTGAACGACAGATAGGATATGAGCGGGAGGTAGGTCAGGAGGGGTAAACTCCCAGTCTCCGTCTACTGCTTCTTCTGATTCGGTGAAGTAATGCAGTATTTTCTTCTTTAATTCCTGGTCTTTCTCTTTGTCTACCTGTTAGTATGCTTGTCTAGAATAGATAATATCTTTAGATAATACAACAGTGATCATATGAAAGAGGTGCGTCAACGAAGTGCATTATTTTATAACTCACACAATCATTGTGTCCGCAATACTTAGGGAGTGGACACTAGATTTCCATTATCACTATTGGCTTGATTCAATGATAATTTTATCGAGTTAAAGTTTTTAAAGCTCGCCGAATTAATTTCTATGAGGAAACTAGCCAACAATCTACTTCTGACATCACGTATATGTGACTACATCAGTCGACTGAATAGCTGTCTGAAGGAAGGATCAAACAATACCATATTTGGTCAGTGCAGCCTATGGAGGTCATTTTTGGAAATTACAGTAAATCTTTTGCAGAATCATACCTATTATATCACACAACCCAGCCCTCTCCCACAGACAGCCTTTTCACCTTTCAGGTAAGGGTTATGATAATAATAAACTATTAATCAGCGTCTAGTTCACAATCACTTCTCTTACCTCGTGTGCTGCATCGTAGTGAGTAGACGATGACACGTCGAGTAGAGAGAAGTGGAGTTCTCTAAGTCTTCGAACTTCTGCATTTTTCTGAGCCATCACTCGTTTGTATAAGTAATCCGTTACCTGTAGCAAAAAGTACCGTTAGATTAAAAATGTCCGTTTCCATGAATTTGACTACTGGAGGAGAGGTAACCTAAATTTTCCTCCAAAATGAAGAAAAATGTATGGCACCCGGACATGAAACCTATCAGAAACACAAATTTCAACGGAATTGATCGAAAACAGCGAAACTCCGGACCTAATAACCTCACTAAAAGGTAGCGGACCGGCTAAATTCCGAACTTATATATATGGAAGTGTGAAATTTATTAACTAAACAGGAGAATAGGCTATTCTGAAGCTTAAGGTTTCGCACTTACTTGTCAGCGACTAGATTACGATTAGTTGGCAATACACTGTCCAAAGTTCAAAGTTTCACAGTATTAAGGATTAAAACATACTACGATTAAAAATTAATATTGAAATAACTAACTTCATCCATTTCCTCATCAGAGAGGTCACCAGGAGCATGAACGTGGAAACTCAAGTCTTTAAACTCGACTAAAACTCCCAATTTAAATCCAGGGATAGCCCGTTTATCAAGATCTCGCAGTTCTCTCCTCGCAATAAACGGATCCCATCCCATCTTGGCTGCAAGTTCTATGTAAGGGAATTCTATCTCGTTCGAAGGCTTGTCCTTATCTTGGTAGAAATTCATTGCAGCCAAAACAGTTGTTGCCTGAATTAGAATTGTTGTATTTCCGGTCGGAAGTATGAAATTTGAGTTCCTATGACGGATAATCGGATAAATAAAGCTTTGAAAAAAATTCTGATTTCCCACAGCCACGTGACTTCTCTGCGAGCGCTGAAAAGCGCGCTAAAATCGCGCAACCTCGATGAGGAAAAATAATGTCACAATAAGACTTAAACTTCGCGCCCTCCAATCAATGAAAGACTAAACTGTGACCACCACGAAATTTTTCAGAGTTAATGAAGTGGAAAAGGTGGTGAATCGCATCAGCCAGATTGAAGAAATAAAGATAAAAACATGCTTAGCAAGTGCTGTGAGATGAGCAGCACCACCATAACACTGTATGAAGCAGGTAGCGTTAACAGGTTGCTTCAATTTGATCCAAGAGCGAGTAGTTGATAACTCTAGATATGTTAACATTGTCGCTATATTTTCCTCTGGTACGTCCACGTCTGTTACTAGTCGAGCTGAAAAGTAGCAATGTGAGAATGACAGCACATCAAAGTATTTGTAAAATAAGAAAACATGGTAATAATAACAGATAATTGTGTATCCCAATTTCCGGTCAAATTTCAAATATCCAACACCTTCTCCGTCACTTACCGATAGGGAACGTGACGGAGTGACCAGGACATTTGTTAATCTCCTTAACGCAGTTGTCAACAGCTTTCCAATCAATGTCATCATCTTCATCGAACAAAGCGTCATCTTCGTCCGTTTTGGGAATTTCGTTTCCTTCCGTCGTGGGAAGTACACTCTCAGCAGAAACGTCAAACTTCTGAGTCTCCTTTTCACTGTCACCGTCCTTTTCATCTTTCTGAAAACATGGTAGCTATGATTATCCACAACTAAATAATATAATCTCTCAAGTAGAGATAAAAGAAGTAGAGATGTGGTCATCCTAAACAACTCGAGCCAATCAGTTTGTTTAGGTGACCAATCAAATGCAAGTATATCAGAAGTGTTCCGCCTCAAGCTAGCCAAGAATAACATTGTCTAATACAAGGCACAACTTAACACTTAAATTAACAAGATAGAGTGTTACCTGATTGTTGATCTTGTTGAGGGTTGCACACGCGCAGGGTTTGAATATGCTTTTGAGAAGGAGCTGTACACTGTACCTATCGACTGTGTTGGAGTGTGCGTGTTTACTTAGCTCTGCTAGATCGCCTCCCTGTGGATAGCACAGAGTTAACTTAACATTTTAACAGCTGACTGCTCCCGTAAGGTGATATTATAATTGGAGTAATATGATAATTAGGGATCGCTTCAAATCTTAATCGAGAGTTAAAATTGAACAAAAAACATTGTGCGAATAAGATTTATATACTTACAAGACTGTCAACGAATATGTGGCAGTGAGCTGGACGCCCATCTCTTCCAGCACGACCAATCTCCTGAACATAGTTCTCAAAACTCTTGGGCATGCTGTAGTGTATTACTGACCTAAGGAATGGTAAATATTTAGAGGGGACATTGCTTTTTACATTCCTACACTTCCTTTCATTCCAATACTTAAAGTAAAGCAGTTAAAATGTACCTACCTTCATATTCTAATATAGTGCATTGAGTAGCTGGTACAATTCATCTTGCAAAGAAGCTAGCCGCCAATAATGAAAACCTCTCACCTAACGTTGGCCTTGTCAAGACCCATACCGAATGCAACAGTAGCGCACACACACCGCAGGGTCCCCGCCATGAAGTGGTACTGTACTCTAGACCGCTGGGAAGGAGTCAAGCCTGCGTGGTAGCTCTCTGCAGTGGTGTTCTCCAGTGATTTCTATGGGAGACAACCTGATCAGACATTTTAGGTTTTCCATCTCCATTTTACACAGAGCAAATTATTTGTTTTCCTTACATGCTATATTATACACTGGGAAGATTAGATATTTACCCGTTTACGTTTGCTCTTGTTTTTCTTGTTGCACAGTTCGTCCTCATCAGGAGCCCAAGGAGGGAGGGATGTCCGGAGAAGTGTAGCGATCCTCTCACACTGCTGGCGGCGCGTACAGTACACTATTATCGAGCCCAGATCCTTAAACCGCTCTCCCCCAAGCAAGGAGATCAGCGCCCGATCTCTGTCCTGGTCTGCAGAGGCAGTGAGGTAGAGATTTTCTCTTAAAACTGGGCCCTTTAGCACTCCCTCATCTGGATCTACACCAATGAACTTGCAGACGTTCTTTGCGCTGGCAATAGTGCAGGTAGCAGTGAGTCCCAAGAAGCACTTGACCTGATACCGCAACCTCAACGTGTCACACACTCGGAGGTAGGCGGGCCTGAAGTTGTCACTCCAAGATGACATGCAGTGAGCCTCGTCAATGCACACAAACCCTATTGGGGGCATCTCTTTGGGGAGGGACCCTGTAAGGTTAATAGAGTTAGTTTTTAAGATAAACTCATGGATCTCGTAAGGCCGAGCGCGAGTTTTAAACATTGTCGTGTATCACGGCTCTCAACAAACAAAAGGAAACAAAGCAAATAACTGGTGAAAACTGAATGAAAATAATCGATGTTTCGACACTTATTGTTCCTTAAATAAGATAACTGGTCCCTACTAAACACTACAATAGGATCAACTCGAAAAGTACCGTTTAATTAGGACATATTATATACTGCATATTACGTAATGGCCGTCGAGTAAGACATTATCTAGACGGTGTATACTACAAACACGTCTAGGGACAACATTTTTATAAACTTGATCATCAATTCCGGCCAGATAAACCTCCCGATTATCAAATACTTATCTTACCGAAGTTTCCCATCATCAGAGACTCAGGACTCAGCAGTAACAGAGGAACTTTTCTGTTTGCAATGTCTTCTTTCAGTGTCTGTTTCTGTTTGGCCGCCATGTGCGAGTGGATACATTTCCCGGGTAATTTAGCTGGCAGCGATTGTATCTGATCATCCATGAGTGAAATGAGGGGTGAAATAACTAGTGTTATAACATTAAGTTCCTTGAAGTAGAGATAAGCAGCGAGCTGATAAACCAGAGACTTTCCACCACCAGTCGAGAGTACAAGTAGTGTGCTCTTTCCTTGAAGTATCCTGATCGTTGCTTCTCTCTGCAAAGTTAGCAAATAAAATAAACATAACGATGTAATTCAAGTCATGGCAAGTTGAGAATTTTCGAGACGTGTCATTATTTTATCTAGACACTTATTTTACTTCGGTGTATTCCAACAGCCACAATGTTACACAAGTGCAACCAGCCAATTACAGGAAGCCGAAGGATCTTTTTGGCCAGTGACGGTTAAGGTAGTGTGTACCATACTTTCTTCGTCCGAGACTTTGCTGCAATGTGCAGCTCCTCATTTAACCCTCACACCCGATTTCTCGAGTATTCGGCTGAGTAGACCGGGGGGCTGCATAGACCACTCATGATCCTTAGCTGAACGTCGACGACGCTCACCCCACGACCAGGCAGTCAGTGGGTTTCGAACTCGCAACCTAACGATTGTAAGACAGGCGTTCTAACCAACTGCGCTACCTGGCCGTTTGGGGGGGGGGGGGGGAGGAAGTGCAAGTATTATTAAACACGTCATATTACGGTTCACAGTACACACTTAGGCACTTCACTCCAAGGTTTAGTCTTTTAATACTGATGTTCAAGAAGCATTGAATAGACCTTAATCTAAAAATATCTTAATCTGAATAAACCTAATCTTTAAATCTCGAATTATAGAAGAAAAGCACACGGTTTCCCACGGTTTATATTTAAATTTAACATGCGAATAATTTCTAACCTGACCAGGTCTAAAAGAGGAATAACCAAGATCGTCCAGCCCGTCCATCAGTAGTTTCTCAACATACTCCTCGGTCTCCGATCCATCGAGAAGTGGTTTACAAGGAGCAATAGTTGTTGAAGGCTGCACCTCTTCATCAGGAGACACATTTTTACTCCCCATTTGTATCATTGGCTCGAGACTTGAGAAGTCTAGTACTTCTCTCTCCGCTGTAATACAGAAATATGATCACACAGGAAATGGGCCCAAGTGATGAATTATGTCAGACATGTCTCTAATGTAAGACTACAGTAATGACTTGGTGTCCGCCCAAGAAATCACTACTTTTGAATAAAATTCAGCTCTAAATATTTGATGATCAGTGGGCCATACCCAGAGTACTATAATTATATTTCACACAATTCAGGCGTGAAATTCTCTTTCTCTCTGTAGTGGACCGCTCTGTAGTGCCAAATCTTAGCCTTAGACGCATAGTAATGTCGTAAGTTTTCTGTCTTAATTGAAAATGAAGCAATCTAATTTCACATATTATCATAAAAATTACGGACACCCAGTAATATTATTGGTATTTCATTAAGTAAAGGGTTTTCAGCCCAAGCCCCAAATATCTTAACGTTTTGACTACAAGGGTTGACTACACAGGACTAAACAACTCAATGTCACAGTATTATATTATTAACATGCAGCAAGACATTGTTGAGGGAGCTAAAATGTATGGTTCTAAATTTATGAAGTTCTATGCAGTGCGGTGAATAATATGTAAGAGGTAATACGTAGATTAATAAGTAGAAATTATAAAGTCCAGAACTTTCTAGAAGTGAAGAGAACTAGGACGATAAATTGATCTCAACAAAGTTTTAAAAGCCAGAATAATTAGTAAAGATTCAAATCGTATTTCTAAAGCTAGCATGCTTATAGTTCACTAACCTGCTTCTTCCGGTGTCAGTTCAGTAACTACAGGAGCTTTCTTTCCTGTACATTTGTTGGCCCAGTGCCCCTCCTCTCCGCACTTGTAGCATTTTCCTGGTTTGCTCTTTGCTCCGGTAGCCCATGCTGGAGGTGGCGGCTTTTTGTTGGGGTTCTTCCAATCTTTTGGAGGACCTTTCCCGAATAGACCACGTGACTTCCACTGCTTTCTCTTGTACGCTTCACCAGTCATGGCTTTACCGGGACGTCTGTATTTATTGTTCTTCATATTGAGTCGTACAAAGTTTCCTTCATCGGGAGTTGAAATTTCTTCTTCAGCAACTACTTTTCTCTTTTTAGGAGCCTGAAATTGAATGAAATTGTGATGATATTGTAGAACTATTTTGCAAAGCTTCCTATGAAATACAATTGACAATTCATCATTTCTTTAACAGTTCAGTGTCACCATGAAATATAACATAGCAAATAAAACTAAGACAAAAACGACCAGTAGAAAAATGTTAACCGAAATATACGCACAAATAATTTAGTCTTTAGAAACAAATCTTAGATTGAACCATTTCCTACCTGTTCTTGGTTGAGTAGATCTTCATTTATAGACAAGATGGAATCCACTGGAGGATCAGATTGGCATCCCTGCCTCTCAATTCTTTCAGATGAAGAGACGCTGTTAAGCTTTGTAGTAGGATGATTGTGAAGATTATCTTCCGACAGTTCAAAAACATCGAATGATTTGTCTTTTATCTTTGTGTTATTATCACTCGCAGGGCCAGCAACTTTGTCAGGCGGTCTAATTTTGAGGTCTGGATTTTGATGCTCTGAAACATCCTGATTCTGATGATCGATGTTCTCTTTTTCAGGCGACTGTAATAATCTTTTTGACCTAACTTCGTGAAAGCTCAAATCACTAGCCTGCTTTTCTAGATTTTTCAAGATATCAGAACTGTTTTTAGTGAAGAAAGAATTTGTTTTGATTGGCAAAATGGGAGCACTGGTGGTTTCTGAAACAAATGAATCTAACCCAAAACTGTTAATCAGTGAAGTTTCCACAGCACTTTCAGCAACTTGTTTATGTTTAGACTTCTTTATGTCAAACTTTTTCCTCAGATTAGGTGTGGCAGCCACTAGATTCTCTCGCTTTTCAGCTTTTTCAATCACTTCAGTAACCTTGGGCTTATTGAGATGAGCTCCAAAGACATCTACTCCCCCCGTTTCCACAGACATTTCTTTCTTCAGAACCATGTAGTCCTTGTAACACTGCTGTATCTCCGCTGGAGCATTCTTTATATCGAGTTTACTTGGCTTCCTCTGATGCTGGCGCTGGAACATTCGTTCCCAGCACTTTATATCTGTCTTTAGATCATTATATTTTGAAGACATCTCTGAAACTGATTCAAGTGTTTACCGTTCTTAGTACAACTTTAATCAGGGGTTACATTTTGAAAACATCTGTTGAACTGAGAGAATAGTTCTTCACTTTATATCACCAAACATGCTGCGTTGAGCTCATCTAAATGTATTCTCTAGCTGGTCCAGTTCACGAGTAAATCCTAAAAATTATGATATAGTTATTATGCAAATTATATGTACTTGTCGACTGTCGAGTAAGTTTTCAATGTCGAATTTTTAAAAATTTTGATATATTTCCTAGATCATATCTGAATTCTGAGTGTTTGATTTAGACGGTAAAAGAGCAAGTTTTGTTATATAATCAAAGACATACAAATATTCTTTATTAATCTGAAATTATATTTCGATCGAGATTTACACCAACATATTATTTAAAAACATCAATAAAAATTTGTTTAAATGAACAAACATTTCTTTTGTATGGAACGCAAGAAGTTGTGCACTCACAGACAGTCAGTCAACTATAACTAAGCAATCATTGATTGAAAGTTCTCATGCAACATACAAAATAACATCATAAATATTTATTCCAATTCATCTCTCTTTTGACGAGTGACTAGTGTTACGAACGTTTACAATTTCCACATCATTTGCTGTCTTTACAACAACAAAAAATGTCTGATGATTACGTCTATAATATTTAAACAACTAAAATAGTTTAACTGAAATGTGCAAGGTATCATGATGTATTATAACGTTCTCATGAGGCAGACATTAAAAACGCTTGTAACGATTTGAAGTATCACTCGTCAATTCAATGTTAAGACCATTATTAATTGCGAATGAAAAGTAGAAAGATAAATAGAATACATTTTATTCATGATACACGATCCAAATTTCAGTGTAAGAAGATAAGATCTAACAAGCTGAAGAGTCTTGAGGAAAAATGTTACTGATGACTCAGGACTTTTTAACTTTATCCATTATTTTCTGTCTCTCAACTCTCTTTTTCTCAATATATCCCTCTCGTTTTTTAACTCCATACTTTTTACTATCATGTCTATTTTGATCTAACTGCTTAGTAATAGCCTTTTGCATGTTTATCTGATCAGGTATGTGAACAAATCTGATTTGCTTACCATGAATCTTGATGTGGGAGAACTGGGCTGGTGGCTGACGAGGCTTCTCATATGTTACATTTGACATTGAAATGTTCATGTGACCATCCATATGATCAACCATCCCAGTTATCTGAATTTCGTTGCGTAGCTCAACTGTGGTGCTGTAGCCTTCTAGTTCTTTTAACATACAGCAAAGAGTCTTCTCAAAAGTTGCTCTCTCGTGGCCGGAGATAGACTTGCTAAAATCCCCCATAACTGTGATGCCCCAATCGTTGTCTGACAACAAACTTTACATTATCTGAATAGATGATGGATTGAATTTGGGTCAATAAACATTGTTAGTCTTAATATCGAAGACTTCCAATTCATAACCGATACCAATTTCATTGATTATAAATTGTTTTAATAAGCAAATCTCGATACTTTATATGTTAGTACTTTACAGTCCAACACAACCTACATTTACCAGGCCTCTTGTGAGAAAGCAATGCCTGGTAAATTAAAGTGCAATGGAGGCTGGACTGTACTGATTATGTTAAATAAAAGCAGTAAAAGAGGCATGTCCTCAGAAATAAATTAAAATTTGTACACTGTCATTAAAATTGATGATAATTTTCACAATGAATCATATCTCCAAAAACTTCAACACTACTATGCAAGTGCAATGGCATGATATATTGTCCCTGTCAAGTGTCAATTTACTGTTTCGATCTTGAATATATTTGATGGTGAATATTCTTCAATGGGCTGACATTTAAATCATTTAAAACATGAACTCATCATACCTGCTAAAACTCATTTCTTGAACTTCGATTTACTAAAACCAGCACCTTTTGATTTGAAACCTCCAGGTTTACCAGACTTCATACCAGTGCCTTTTGGTCCACTAACATTTCCTTTTGTTCTAAAACCACCAGATTTACCTGACTTCATTCCACCACCACCACCACCACCACCACCACCACCACCACCACCACCTTTTGATCCACCACCACCACCACCTTTTGATACACCACCTTTTTTGTTATTGAAATGTTGAGCTCTATTCTTAGCTTTGACTTTTCTGTCTTTTATGATTGTGTCAACTGATTTCAAATCTGATTTTCCAGTTTTTTCTTTAGTATAATGCCAGCCTCTCTTTCTAACACTTACTCCCCTAGTATTAGAATCTTCTGTTTCACCGATAGCAAGTGATGTTTTCTTAGACTTGCTCATCCAATCTTTGTACCTGCCAGTTTTGTAGGATGCTTTGACTCTAGATCCATCTTCTGCTTTGACAGTCTTTTCATTCTTATCAAAAGCCCTCACTTTCAAGAATCTCTTCTTTTTGTCATCCCATTTTTCCAGTGACTTTTGTTTCTTTATCATGTCACTGTCATCTCCAATGATATCAAAACTGGCTTCAGCAGTATCCTGATTAAATCCAATACTGAAAGCTCTATCTTCTGCATCTTGGTTTCCAGGCCTCGTATATGGTATGTAAGCATCATCCTCAATAGTTGGTTTCACAACTTCCACAAACACTGAACTTAATTCTGATGTGGAGGACTCCTGAGGATTGTCAGATTGAGTTCGGGTGGTCTTTTCGAGTTTTGGAACTTTAGCAGAAGTCTTGTACTTATCATGCATTTTCCTCTTTCGTTTCATGATATCTTGAAATTCATTCTTATTGTCCTTATTCACCTCGAAAATTGTTGTTTTTCCTCTGTATAAACGAAGTTGGTCGAGCAATGAATCTCTCTCGACAGTGGTGTGATCAGCTTGAAACACTTGGTGAGCTGCCAAAGTTGTCAGTTCTTTTGCTCTTGTGATTGACTCTGAGGCAGGGTGACCACGGGATCGAAGATAATGCTTGTAGCCATTTTGACAGACCTTCAATGCTGCAGGGAGTAAACAGTTAAGCCTGTGGAAACTGGATAGACGCTCATTTTGAGTATCAACAAGATGCTGCGGAATAATGCCAAAAGAGTCGTCATCTGAGCCAGGATTGGTGGGTGTAACAATTGAAAGATTTTTACCAAGAAACAGGTAGAGATCAAAAAGAAACCCAATTTCATCACCACCAATTAAAGAGTATGCAGTACCTGTCTTACCAGCACGAGCAACTCTGCCAACTCTGTGTACATAGAGCTTGGGTTTTGGTGGAAAATTGAAATTGATTACATTATCAAGTAATGGAACATCCATTCCACGTGCAGCAACATCGGTTACCAGAAGGACATTGACCTTTTTCATGAAAAATTTTGCAGCATTTATCTTTCGAGCAGTTTGATCCAAAGAACTGTAAATGTGAGCACAAGGAATGTCTATGCTGTTTAAAAGTTCCACACAGTATTCTACGTGATGTTTTGTAGGAAAGAAAACAACAGTCTGTTCAGTTTTGATGTTAATGGTAAATTCTATCAGATGAAGAAGAGCTGCCCATTTATTATCTTCAGATACTCTTAAATAGACTGTTTTAAGACCATCATTAAGCTTAGATTCTAAATCAAGTCTTACCAGCACGGGTTCCTTTAAACCTGCACGAGCAAATTCAACAACAGTTTTTGGAAGAGTTGCACTAAAAAGAGCGGTTTGTCTTTCTGTTGGAAGTCTGGTGCAGATATCACGAAGCTGTTCAGCAAATCCCATTTCAAACAATCGATCAGCTTCATCACATATCAAAACCTCAACTGATGATAATTTGAGATTCATTTCATGAATGACATGCACTAATCTACCAGGGGTAGCTATCACAATATCAGGATTGTCATGAAGCGATTGAAATTGTTCAGCCATACTTTCACCTCCCAGAATGAGGGCAATCCTCAGATTTCTTCCTTTGGTAAACTCCTTGCAAAACTTCATGGATTGAATAGCAAGTTCTCTTGTTGGAGACAAAAGAAGGCATCTAAAACCAACAATAGAACTGTGCTCCTTCAAAAGTTCTATCATAGGAAGCAAAAATGCAGCAGTCTTTCCAGATCCTGTTCTTGCCATCGCAACCACATCACGTTTATCTAGAAGCAGAGGAATGGCTTTCCTTTGTATTGGTGTTGGAACTTTGTATCCTTTCTTTACAGCTGCTTTGACAGTTTTAGATGACAGTCCCAATGCATAAAATCCGCCACTTTTGGCCTTCTTGTTCCGCTCCTGCACCAGCTTTTGAGTGTCATCATCACTGGATTCACTATCAGACGACATTCCTGTAAGGTGAAAATATCAATAACTATTAACAAGAATATACTGTAAATCTGCATCCAACTGTACATATTGAAAATATAATTTATAACATTGAAATAACATTTCCAGCCATGAACAGCTGCTTATTCAACACAATTAAATGGTAGTGGTTATGTTTGGTGTTTATGATAAGGAAAACATATACTTCATCCTACATCAGAACAAGAGTTTCCTCTGCTATGCTGAAAGACATCCTTGTGTCTAACCATTCAAGTTCTTTGCAAGAATTTTCTAACTTAAGTTTTCTAACTCTAAGTAGAGTCATCATTCTTAGATACTAATCTTATTGCACAACCACGATTAAAATCATTTTCGAGAGACAAGACTGAATTCAGAGACTCAACTATTTTGGAATTAGATTATAGTACAGTTCTACAGGCACGTAGCCCGGATTTTTGTTTAGGGGGCCCCCTTGGCGAGCAAAGCGAGCCAACGCGTCCAACCCAGGGGCTAGAGGGGCACAGCCCCCTGGAAAAATTTTGAGAAATAGGGTGTTTTAGACGACATTTGGCATTAAAGAAATTTGTAGGACAGCAATAAACTGGGACTGAAAAGAATCAAGTACTCACGTAAATGCCAAAATGTCTTACCAGTCCCTGGCCCTACCGAACTCAGTACTTGCCACATTGAATGGACGTGGAATAAGTACATGTATAGTGGGATTTGGGAATAATTTACGAAATGCTGAAGTCAATCAACCAAATATACACAATAAGGTTTGGTACTTTATCCGTACCTCCCCTTTCATAGAAATAATAGCAAAAATATACACCTATCTTTAAGAAATCAACATCTGATATAAAACATTCGCTCAACCAAAATTAAAACAATTTTCCTGTTAATAATTTAACGGCTGAAGTCAATTGCCTACCGTTTAAACGGTACAGACTGCAGTCATAAACACAGCCCAGTTATCAGGCGACCATGGGGACTAGGGGGCTTATTTTTTTTCTGGGGTTCAATTTTTCCCCCCGTGCCTGTAATACTATATTTACAGTACACTTTAATGTAGATGTACTTGGGGGGTATCCTAAGAAGCTTCTTGATCTTTTGGCAGGGATCCTCAATTAAGTTCAACTGAGTATTTTACTTTTTCAAAAGCAAGTAAAACTCTAAGGGGTTATATTAAAATTATATAGTGTTGGCATTACCAATCTTCATTAAATAGGAGCTAAGCAAGAGTCAGCATGATGCCATGGATATGCTAGGAATGGAAGCTAATTAACTCATATGTCATATGATAGCGAACCAGGTGCAAGTTCAAGTTTAACATGGGAGACTACATGCTTTCGTTGACTTTCATTCAGTGGCGTAATGAAGGGCCTCAATACAATGACCCCGCTGTGCTGGGAGGGGGCGCCACCTCTGGGGGCGCTAATCATCGTTTGGATGTGGGAGAATTTTGACAGACTTGACTAAAATACTAGCAAAACTGTGCATTTTGCTGGCGTTTTCTCTAAAATCACCTAATAAGTCCAACTTGACGTTTCTACTTTGAGGGGCACCAACAGGCCAGGGGGATGCTTTTTCAATGGGGGCACTATCATGCTATACAGAGGCGGCTATTAAGGGCGTCCAGGCATCTGTGGACGCCCTAAAATTATTATCTAGTGGCTGGTGCTTGAAAATAGAAATATTATTAGTATTGAACGGAAATATCTAATCGCAATAAAAAGCTTTTTATTCTATTCAAACATTCGAATGTAAGTGCATGCATGATCCTTGTGAAATCATGTTGTAGGGTGTCCAATCCTCGTTAGGACGACTCAGCCATATGAGCGTGTGCAAGTATGTAATGTGCATTGCAATTTCTAGCTTCGATGAAATATTTGAAATCTTGCCTTATACGTTTGAATAATTTAATTAATTAATTAACTTTCTGCTGAGGTGTTGTATGCAGTCATCGGTGAATAGCCATCAGCAGTTGAGGGAGGGGGCGGCCCCCCAAGTCCCCCTGGCCCTGGGTCCATCGATTGGACACCCGATACAACTACCAGCCAGCTCCCACGAGCTGCCTCTGATTCCACTGCTTTAAGCGCTAAATAATAGACACAGTCCTAGTTGAAGAAGAATGGAGTGGAAAGAAGGGTGACTGCCCATGTAATGGAAGTCAAGGTGGCTTAATAATTCCTCTCCAAAACAGATAGCAAAGCCAACCCCCAGCATACTCTCAAGTACATCTCAAAAGCGATTGCTCTGACCAGAGCCCTCTCGCTTGCAGTAGCGCGCGACCGCCGTTTGACCATTATTAATGATCTGGCCCGGCGCGCGCTACTTCGTAGCATTTGCCATCGGGAGCACTTGCCATCGTAGCACTTGCCATCGTCAAGACCGCCGTACGCGTATACACATGGCTATGTGAAGCGCTGCGACATAATAAATTGCAGAAATGCCCGCGCATTTCGATGAAGCTGCGCATTTGGCATTTCTAACTATAGTTCCCGTTTACCGGGAACTATATTGTTTCACATAGCCATGTGCCTACGCGTACTGCGTGACGCGCTTGTTTCACAAGTAGGATAGGCACATACAGATCAGCACACATAAGATGGTACGTGTGCGCGCGCGCAGTGCTGACAATTGCGTCGTATTTAACCCCGGGTGCACGTACATCGTGTGCGATGATTGGTCTCTATTTGAGGGTTTATTTCTATTCCAAGAAGTTTTTAGACGATGAAATCAGAAATACAGGAATTGTGGTACAATAACAAATTAGAAATTTTAAAAATCCTACGATTGAAATACAATTTGAATTACAACAGGATTACATAAAAATACAAGTATTCTTTGTATATTATAAAGAAACTAAAAAGCCCGTGGTCACACAAAGGAGGCTAATAGTATTCTTTTTAGTCAGTTTTTATCGCATCAAAAAATATCTGTCACGACAGAGTATACAGCCCATTAAAATATAGCTCGCAATGAACACAACGTATAATTACCACAACGTATAATTACCACAAAACCGATAAAAATGTCGTTTTAACAATTTTCACGTGGACGGTCGTACAATGTACAAAGATAATTCTTGAAGTAGAGATAGTTTTACAATTTGAATTGCATGTAAATAATTTTCAAATGATTCTGTCATAAATGCTAAAAACAATTTCGTACATAAACAAATAATATGTACTAAATAACTAAAGACAATTTCATAGAAATGATTACGGAAGATTACAGATTGAAAGTATAAATGATAACGAGATTACATCACACTTCGTGATCCGCAAGAAACGGATTCATTTGCATAACATATAACATATAACAATCCGGTGACCGACAATCAATCCATCCGGTCGCAACAATCACTTCGCGATCAGTAAGAAACAGGTTAGATCTTGCAGTCCCAACATTGACTTCGTGATCAGTAAGAAACAGGTTCATTCCTGCAGGCCCAACTCCGACCGGATGCTGAAAAAGTACATGTTGTCATTGACATATTTACTCATCTGTAAATGTAATCTACTAATCTGTTACGTAAAACAGCAAATGATATATTTCAGCCCCTATCACTTGATCGTGCTAATATTTAATATGTAAGATACATTTTGTTCTTTACTACTGCCCGATCGGATGAACTGGGAAGTTAGGGAGAATAGTGGAACTAATAATATTTTCACAATAAATGTATTTAATTTTAATTGCGGTTGTGAGTATAGTTAAACATTGACACTGAAATGATGCGAGAGACTCGAAGCAAGATCTTTTGTGCTCATAAGGACATAAAGTGCTCGGTTGATCAGGAGCGAGCTTAGTGTGCAGTGTGAGCTGAAGACGATTTACACAAGTATTTTGAAAGCTCCTGCTAATAAAATCCTTTCATATCACTTGTATGTTTTAAATATCCCCCTCCAGGTTAGTGTGAGTGTGTGCTGTGCAGGAGCGACACGGGCGATTGTGTCGCTCCTACGCTATACTCTTAATCTCGGTTTACCGTGCAACTGCAAGGCATAATGCAGAAGATTTTCTATTTCAAAGTTAGCTACTATACTATTAAAGAAAGCTTGTAGGATCAGAGGTTATAAGTTGGCAACATACAGCTAAACTGAATATAGGTAGCAAGTTTTGTGAGATGTGCTTCAGTGAGCGGAAATTAAAGTCACGACGACGTCGCAGATTGTGAGTCAGCGAAGCTACATTTACCGACTTCTAATCCCGGACCTTACTAAAATGTATTCCAATGAAATCGCAAATTTGGAAAGAATTAGCTACGGTAACACGACATCTGTCCGACAGCGACTCTTGTCCGACTCAGGTTATCAGAAAAAAAGACATATGTCCGGAATTTTGATATAATTTCAATACGACACATTTCCAATTAGAGACATGATCTGAACTGTTACTAGATACTTTGTATACGTAACATTTCCAATTTGATATATGATCTGAGCTGAACTCTACCATAGTTTCTTTTCATTTGATGTCGATATATTGGACGAATGTTATATATAAATCAGTTCAGGACATGGTCCTTCGAGCCTTGCTTGCGTCGAGGGGTAAACTGAAGATTGGTTGCGTTTTTGGATTGCGATAACTGATTCCCATACCGCTCTCTTATATGCACTGTAGGCTGTGATGTGATCGACAGCCTGTTACAGCTTGTTAGTGTACGGCTAGCACGATCCTGTCCTCAAATAGTCAATCACGTATCGATGGATCGGATCTCAATGGATCAAATCAGGATTAGGACAGTGGGAACCACTGGGAGACCTTGGGTCAGAACTGATCCGGCCCCCAAGAGGGGTCAGATCACATCACTAATTAGTGACGTATAATTAGTGATAGGATACAAGGATACAAGGATACAAGGATACAAGGATACAAAAGTGATAATTACTTTATTGAGTACACAATAGTTGTAATTCTGAAATAATTTAAGTTACACAATTCTAATTATTTACAAGTGTGTAGGGATAATTTAGAAATGTTATATAATGCTAGTTTTAGAAAAATAGATAAATCGAGTTTGTATGGTTCAATCTTATTTTAAGGTCCTATAGCATTATGCACTTGCCAGTATTTGAGTGGAAATCTGGGCTCTTATAGTAGGCTGTATAAGTTTCGTTCACAGAGAGAATTGAATGGATTGCTCTTGCTGTGGCAGTGAGTGTGGTAGGATCTAGAGTTTTGTTGGAGAGCAAACCGACTAGGTCAGTAATGTTTAGGGGATGGAAATTGAATTTTTCCCTAACTGAGGAGTAGAGCAAACAGTCAATCAATACGTGACTTTCGTCCTCAATAGGCTTGAGCCCTTTGCTGAAAAAGCAGTAGGTGCACCAACGTTCTTCTCTTGGTACAATGGGGGTTTCGTATCTGCCCCTTTCGATGTAGAGGTTATCAAGGGATGTGGCTGCAGAACAACCCCTGTCGGCTCACGGGTAATGTGGGAGGGGGGGGGGGCTGCTGGAGACGAAGAAGTTAAAATACGTCCAACAAAATCCGAGATGTTACGTGCAAAGGTTGAGGTTAACTTATAGCTGTAATTACTGGTAATAGTAATACTGGAATCACAAATAGCTCTTACTTTTTGACATTCCGTTTCCCTAGTAGTTTAAATAATCCTAATCTGGTTTGGTACAATGGTCCCTTATCATAACGAGATTAACCATTTCAAAAAGTTGCTCAATACGTTGTGCGAGTTGAATAAATTAATTTTCCAATGAATCACTTTAATTTTCCAGTTTTACCAGTAAGTACGACATGTAAGTTGACAAGTAAATACTCCGACTTTAGCTCGATAAGTCGAGACATCCCAGGAACGTTTCTCGCATTCAGAAGCTCAAACCAGCCCACCCCCACATGTTCGGCAGTATCTAGATAGCCCGACCCCTGTCCGCGGAAAACTGTCCACGGACAACTGTCCACGAACAACTGTCCACGAACACCTGTCTACCAGATCATGTTATAACTGCATAATAACAGTATCCCCTGAATCAAGCAACAGGTGTTTGTGAATAGTTGATTGGTTACCAAATCATATGACCGCAAATGTTATGAAATTGAATGGTATGTATGGTATCTTGGATGCAATTAGTTACGACTAGCATAATGGGGGGGGGGTGACATGTCTCCAATGTCTCCAATGTCTTTTGTCTTTTTTGAAAAGATAGGGTGCAGAGACATGTCCTGGAGACATTGGAGACATTGGAGACACAGCTTTTGGAGACATTGGAGACATTGGGGACATAAGAGACATTGGAGACAAAGCTTTTGGAGGATGACCCAGGAGGAGGACTCAGGAGGAGAAGGAGGAGGATGAGGACTCAGGAGGAGGACTCAGGAAGAGGACTGAGGAGGACTAAGAAGGAGGAGGACTGAGGAGTACTGAGGAGGATGGCTGAGGAGGATGGCTGAGGAGGATGGCTGAGGAGCATGGCTGAGGAGGATGACTGAGGAGGAGGACCTAGGAGGAGGAGGACCCAAGAGGAGGAGGACCCAGGAGGAGGACTCAGGAGGAGGAGGAGGAGGAGGACTCAGGAAGAGGACTGAGGAGGACAGAGAAGGAGGAAAACTGAGGAGTACTGAGGAGGATGGCTGAGGAGGATGACTGAGGAGGATGACTGATAGGGAGGAGGAGGGGGACTGGGGAGGACTGAGGAGGAGGAGGACTAAGGAGAAGGATGAGGAGGAGGACTGAGGAGGAGGATGAGGACTGAGGAGGAGGACTGAGGAGTACTGAGGATGATGGCTGAGGAGGATGGCTGAGGAGGAGTACTGAGGAGGATGGCTGAGGAGGATGGCTGAGGAGGATGGCTGAGGAGCATGGCTGAGGAGGATGACTGAAGAGGAGGACCTAGGAGGAGGAGGACCCAAGAGGAGGAGGACCCAGGAGGAGGACTCAGGAGGAGGAGGAGGAGGAGGACTCAGGAAGAGGACTGAGGAGGACAGAGAAGGAGGAAAACTGAGGAGTACTGAGGAGGATGGCTGAGGAGGATGACTGAGGAGGATGACTGAGGAGGATGACTGATAGGGAGGAGGAGGAGGAGAAGAAGGACTGAGGAGAAGGAGAAGGAGGAAGACCTAGGAGGATGAGGACCCAGGAGGAGGACTCAGGAGGAAGAGGAGGAGGAGGACTCAGGAGGACTGAAAAGGAAGAGGACTGAGGAGAACTGAGGAGGAGGAGGACTGAATAGGAGGAGGAGGAGGGGGACTGGGGGAGGACTGAGGATGAAGAAGACTGACGAGAAGGATGAGGAGGAGGACTGAGGAGGAGGACTGAGGACTGAGGAGGATGAAGAGGAGGAAGACCTAGGAGGAGGACTCAGGAAGAGGACTGAGGAGGACAGAGAAGGAGGAGGACTGAGGAGTACTGAGGAGGATGGCTGAATAGGATGACTGAGGAGGATGACTGAGAGGGAGGAGGAGGAGAAGAAGGACTGAGGAGAAGGAGAAGGAGGAGGACCTAGGAGGATGAGGACCCAGGAGGAGGACTCAGGAGGAAGAGGAGGAGGAGGACTCAGGAGGACTGAAAAGGAAGAGGACTGAGGAGAACTGAGGAGGAGGAGGACTGAATAGGAGGAGGAGGAGGGGGACTGGGGAGGACTGAGGATGAAGAAAACTGACGAGAAGGATGAGGAGGAGGACTGAGGACTGAGGAGGATGAAGAGGAGGAAGACCCAGGAGGAGGAGGACTGAGGAGGAGGATGAGGACTGAGGAGGACTGAGGAGGATGGCTGAGGAGAATGGCTGAGGAGGATGACTGAGAGGGAGGAGGAGGAGGAAGAGGACTGAGGAGGAGGAGTAGGACTGAGGAGGAGATTGAGGAGGACCTAGGAGGAGGAGGACCCAGAAGGAGGACTCAGGAGGAGGAGGAGAACTCAGGAAGAGGACTGAGGAAGACTGAGAAGGAGGAGGACTGAGGAGTACTGAAGAGGATGACTGAGGAGGAGGAGCAGGATGAGAAGGACTGAGGAGGAGAAGGAGAAGGTGGAGGAACTAGGAGGAGGATGAACCAGGAGGAGGACTCAGGAGGAAGAGGAGGAGGACTCAGGAGGAGGACTTAGGAGGAATGAGAAGGAGGAGGACTGAATAGGAAGAGGAGGAGGAAGACTGAATAGGAGGAGGAGGAGGGGGACTGGGGAGGACTGAGGAGGAGGAGGACTGACGAGAAGGATGAGGAGGAGGACTGAGGACTGAGGAGGAAGAGGAGGAGGATGAAGAGGACCCAGGAGGAGGAGGACTGAAGAGGAGGACTGAGGATGAGGACTGAGGAGGAGGAGGAGGACTGAGGAGGACTGAGGAGATTGGCTGAGGAGGATGACTGACAGGGAGGAGGAGGAGGACTGAGGAGGAGGAGGAGAAGGACTGAGGAGGAGAAGGAGGAGGACCTAGGAGGAGGAGGACCCAGGAGGAGGACTCAGGAGGAGGAGGAGGACTCAGGAGGAGGACTCAGGAAAACTGAGGAGGAGGAGGAGGAGTGAATAGGAGGAGGAGGGGGACTGGGGAGGACTGAGGAGGAGGAGGACTAAGGAGAAGGATGAGGAGGAGGACTGAGGAGGAGGATGAGGACTGAGGAGGAGGACTGAGGAGTACTGAGGATGATGGCTGAGGAGGATGGCTGAGGAGGATGGCTGAGGAGGATGGCTGAGGAGGATGGCTGAGGAGGATGGCTGAGGAGGATGGCTGAGAAGG